CAAGACTCAAGCTTTTTGATAAACGCTTTTATATCAGAAACCATTTCTGCTAGTTCTTTGCCTCTCCTCTGAAGCTGCAAATTAAGTTCATTTAATTTTTCTGTAATATGCACAAGAAAATCAAAATCTCCAAGCCAGATTGAATCGGTTCATCAAAAATTGAACTATGGCAGATATGATATCGTTAAGACGTTTCAGCAATCGTCCCCTACTTAACCATATAACTTCAGAGTGAAGAAGTAGTTCCTCGTATTGACAGTCAATTTCATAGGCCAAGAATAATCTACTTTGTAACGCCTGAGCTCTAATCTTGTTCACAATTTTCACTGCCAATTTTATAACGTTGTTTAGTTTTAGAAAATGTCCTCATAATGCTTGCTGATAGATAATGCAGTGGTAACAGAGAAATTGCGGAAAACTTTCATCTTTACGACATAACCCTGCGAGACCCTTATCACGACTCACCATAGCTGGAGCGCCATCGGTTGTCAAGCCTACCATTTTCGATATTAAAATTTACTCAGAAGAAATAATATTTTTAAAAGAAGAAAATAAGTCCTGCCCAGTAGTCTGTCCTTTTAGTGGAATAAACTTCAAAAGATCTTTAATCGTAAAATCACTAAAAACCATCCTGACGAACAACTGAGAGGTGTCAACGACATCTGTGGATTCATCCAGCTGCAGTGAAAAATAAGCGCAGTTATCGAAGTCATTTCTTAACTGTAAAACTTTATCATTGCTTATTACTTCTACTCGTCTCATCACTGTATTAGCAGAAAGCTTTATCGATTTTATGACAGACACTATCTCATCTCTATTTCTAAAGTTGGCAAATAATGAATCTGCAGCTTCTAAAAACTTCTGTTTTATCATTTCCCCGTCTTCATAAGGCTTCTTCTTTTGTGTAATTATCTGGGACACCCGGTATGATGCTTCAGTTGCAGCCTTACTTTTGTCGATTGCTCTTAAAAACATTGTCTGCTGTCCAATTACCTGATTTTTTAGTTGCTTCAGTTTTTCCGTTCTGGTTGCAGAACGTAATGGGAATGATTTTTCAAAATTCGAATGTACAGTTTTATCGTGCCTCTCGATATTTCCTTTTTTAGCAATGGAAACAGATGTATTACTTAACAAACATTCATTTTTACCTTTAACTTTTGTGAAGAAATATTGTTCTTCCCATACCGATCGGAAATGGTATGTCTTCATCTTCTTACTAATGCTCATAATGTTTTTAATTGCAGGCCAACTCTAACCTAACCGCTGGACTTTGTGCCGTTCAGTTTTATTCCGTTCAAAGTAATCGAGATCGTTCTCGAACAGATCGCTCATGGCAGTGTTGCCGCTGCTTGTGTTTATTATGAGAATTTACAAAATTTAGGGATGCTTCTATGGTTTTTACACCTTTTTAAAATATGTTCTGAGCGACCAGAATTGCCTTTGCGAGCTACCGGTAGCTCGCGATTGACTGGTTGGCGACCACTGCTGTATACGTGATAGAGTAATTGAAGTATGCTTCTAAAATTTTACTGTTATTAAGTACATAGAATATATTCAGCAAAGATTAAGAGCTATCAAAATTTCTGTGTTACCGTGTGTTTAAAATATTTTGTTTTAATAGTGACTTAAATTTATGATGATTTGCTGTATTGCTAATATTGATGTCTAATGCATTATAATATTTAGAGGAGTTATGTAAGAGCGCTGTGCGACGTCTTGGTATGGATAATGTATTCCTTTACCTTAAATTTTAAATCTTCGATACTTGTTCTAAATGTTAGCTTGTTCGATTGTAGTGGTGAATGAGTAGTCGTAATGAATTTTATAAATGACAAAAATAAATATTTGAACAGGTTATTAATTTTGAGCCATCGTAAATCTTTGATTGCATCAGTTACTTGATCATATTTTCTAAGATTGTTTGTTAACTGGCAACAAAGATTTTGAATTTTCTGTAGTCTGCAGGCGAACATTTGATTTAAGCAAGAATAGTTGTTATGATTCCATATGGAATTTTGGAAATAATTAATGATTCACATAAACGCTTTTTTTATTTTGAAACTGTGGTGTAAAACAGTTTCAGCCTAAAATAGCATGTTTCAATGACGCTGTTTACATGCATGAGAAAACGTAGGTCTTCGTCTATAAGTAAGCCCAAATGTTTGCATAGATGATTGAATTCCAAACCTGTATTGCCTATTTTCAGGCTCAGGCTTGCTTTTAGATGTATCCGCTTTTCTTTTTCACTAGTCTCTTTCCATGAGAAGACGGTACAATTTTTGGCATTAAATTTGTTAAAGGAGCGTGAAAATGGTACCTATATCAGGATAGAAAATAACAAGCCTGCATTTTGGACATTTGTGAGGGAGTTGTTAATGTTATTATAATGCTTTATCTCTTGTAAAAATGAACAAAATTTCGTACTGTCCTACTATTTCTTGAGGAGCAGATTTTGTATTTGCACTCTTTGGAAAAATCAATGCAGGCGCCTACGGTAAGTGGAAGGATAACTGTCACATATTTGGTGACACTAAGATCAAAGGGCTTCACAGTCACTGTCGTATCTGTATGTAGGATATCTGTGCTTGTCTTACATATTCTTTTTTTCAATGTTTTATGAGGTCTACAATCCTACTAACAAGCCTTATATTCGGAAGGAACACTCAAAGAAACTAGGCTAAAATAAGCAAAGTTACCGCACAACTGTACAGGTAAAAACCCAACGTTGAGGTCGTGGCCTTAGCAAGCCGATGGCTATAATATATTAACGACTATGGATGTACTTCTATTATTCAGCTTAAACGGCTTTTTACATTCCACAAAATCCTTCACTATTTACGACAATTGTACTTTTATGTTTTGGCAGCTTGAACCTGATCGACTTGTAGTCTGACTGCAGACTATAAGGTTTTGGAGACAAGTAAGCCCTTCTACCTAGTCCAAATTCACTGTTTAGAATAAACAACCATTTTTGATGCTCATCATCTATAAATATGGGATATCAGCTGATCTTTGACGTGGATAGATTTAGACAAATAGGTGTCCAGATGAGATACAACAAATTCAATGTAACACGCCAAAAAGTATGTGATAGAAGAAGCTATCTATGCCAAAATATCTCTCTAAAGTGAAAAATATTCACAAACCGCACTGTTTAGTGACAACACCACGCATTCGATGCGGATTCGAATCCTGTACAGTATATGCCGTAGCGGTTTGGATGGCAGCCAGGAACTCAGCAGTTCACGATGAAATAGGATAGAGATACGAAAAATAAATCACGTTGTAAGGCTAGTGTGGAAAATATAGACAGCTCATGCTGATTTTGCTGTTCTTATGGAGTCGCCGTAACAGAGGCCTTTGCTGCGCCAAATATTCTCTGTGATAATTGGGGCGTAGCGAAGACGACTTACCACTTGGGGGATATCATCTGTCACATCTTATACTCAAACAAATTACGTCAAGTATGTTGACTCTGCACTTCTCACGCAGCACTGTCATCAGTTCATAAAGGATTACGTTCAGCACATGTGTAAGAGACGATGTTAATAGAAGAGTAAACGTGAAAACAACAAACCCATCTTAGAAGGTTTCGAAGTACCGCCCTCTACCATTTTATTTTTATTACAAGCACAGTACATGAACAATATGGTCAAAGCATCTTAATAAATATGGCTTGCCACATTCATGATCATGAATATAAAAGTATTATGATTATAAATCCAAACGGCACAGCAGAATGAAGGAAATAAGCAGTGATTTCTCACCTTCCAGGTAACCAAAACCCTACACCCAATAGCACAGCGACACTGCAATTAGCTTCACGACGCGCACTACTTGATCCGAGATGCAACTTTTATAGCCGCCTGCGTGTATATAAAAGTTTATCTTGGGAACAAGTGCCCAGAAGAGGAATGGAATGTATAACATAAACAATTTATTGTCACGTGCCAAAATCGCGTAACCTTCTTTTTACTATTTTGTTCACTTATCAGTAATTTGAATTTCTCTGTATTGATTATAGAGTACCTAGACCAAACCCTTCTTAATGATTTTCTTTTGACAAATTTGCCACGCCTATTTTTTATAAAAAAGAGGAATTGGTGGTGTGATTCATCTTTTTTTAAATTAATTAATTAATTAATAAATAAATCACTATAAATGAAATCTAATGGTCAGTCAAGAATAACAAGTTCCGACTAACATGTCGGGAATTTGTGGCTTAATCCGTCTTGAGTCACTGGCGCTCTTAACCCCCTCTAATCTCCGCTTTATTGAGCTAGGTCCTAAATTTGCACAGCTGTTTTGCATTGACTGACCATTAGATTTCATTTATAGTGATTTATTGATTCATTAATTAGTTAAAAGAAAGAGGAATCACACCACTATTTCCTCCTGTTTATAAAAAAAGGCGTGGCACAATTCAGTTAATCAAACACATACATTTAGTCTATAGACATCTTTCAACTGGCAACATCGCTTCTCTCCCATATCTCACCACAATATGCCTTTATAAAAAACGACACCTACTGTGAACTTTATGGGATTTTGTCCATTTCTAAAAACTGACAATAACCCCCTTATTGACAAAAACGCGATAAAAACGTACGTACACGATGTTGTAAACAGACATTTCCTGAATTAATTTGAATCCATCTTGATTAAAAATACCAAACTCGCCAATTAATCTTCGCCTTTACCCTGGGAGGCATTAAACTCTACTATAAACTTCAATAGTAGTCTAACCGAGTGAGCGTCGCCGGGATTTATTACGATTACGATTATCCAATCGTTTTCATTTTTTAAATTAACGACCATCTGGCAACAGTGCTGAACCGCACCAGCCACCCATGCCATAAGCGCCAGCCACGATACCATATATACACAGGATCTGTCGCATGAGGTTGGCATAGTCCCAACCGATCGCGTGTCGCGTCTGCAAATATTTTAAGGGCAAACTTTAAGGCATGAGTTCAACGAGCAGGCACTGGAGACGTTAGGTACCCACAACATTTATGATCCTGACATGATTCGTACAACTCAGGAGGACTGAAAGTTTACTCATATTCAACCCATCCCAAAAAAATGGCGTCAAGTATATGACAACTAGACGACTCTGCAGCCGCAACAATTGACAACATAGCATACGTAGTTATCGTATAAGATGCGTAAGCGCTTCATTCGAATGTGTCATATGACTTTTAGTGTTGACGGAGTTACTTGTCGATTGAATTTTATCCGCAGTGATTTTTTGCATCTTTGTGAAACTAATAATGATGAGGTATTGCTAGATATGTTAAACTATAGCCCAAAAAGCAGTAGAACATGTTTCGTTTCATACATAAGTATAGATTATGTTAGTGCTTTATTTTTGGTTCCCATTGGCGTGGTTGTTATTCTCTAGCTCCAAATTGGATGTTTTGATGCTTTTCGACTTCGATTTTTGCAGAATGTTCATTTTATACATGTAATTATACTATTTTTCTATTTATGAACAACATACTATGCGCCCTGCCTGGTTATATTCAAGTTATGGTTGTATTAATTTTAATAGTTCCTCAAATAAATCAAAACTTCATATTTTCTATGCAATTCATACTTTTTGTGCATCATAATATACTACAATTTTTCTCCTCATATGCCTTGATACTTCGCAGCGTCTTCAATTTGGGCTATTAGATTAGTAGTGCTTGTGAAGTTGACGTTTTAATTTTTTTATGGAGATGCTGAGAATTCTATTCGAATGAGAGCTGCCTGATTTGACATAAACTATTTTTTGCATTGCTAACTCATGAAAACCTCATTACTGACCGCAATACCTTATTGAGAAGTAGAATTTCTCTCCCTGAACGAAAAACAAGACAAGGATTCAAACCTGTTTTACTGTATCAAATAAAACAAGAAAAATAACCTTTCAATTTATCATTTGATTTATATGATTTATCCAACAAGTGAACCCTCTTGAAAAATTAAATTTTCGAATTACCGAATCCGACCTCGAATATCAATTCTACTCCACTGGATCGTGCCTCGAACGTGAGACCTTGTAAGTGATTTTACCCCCAAAGTCGTGGGTTTTGAGGCTTATTTACCCTCGCACTCCCCCTGGTCCATCGACATGTACTTATTTTTGACTTGATGAATGAATCAAGAGGTCTATATATTTTAGTAGACACTAGCTAGGATCCATGAGAATTACACTACAACATGTTTCTCAAAGTAGATATCAGTTGTTTTATACAGTAGAAAACAGCCGACCAAAGTCTCTATGTTAAATGTATCAGCCCATCAAATAGGCAATATGTTGATGACATCATTAGTCTATTTTTAACGTCTACCCCCTCTCTTACATTTATCTTCCCCTTTTCTTATTCTGTCACATTGCACGGCTTATCACATTCCCGCCTTTCTTTGCGCAGATTTCAATCTACGCCCTAATGGGAACTTTTTGATTAGAAACCGCAGAATCGAACTTTTCCGGAGAAAAAGCGCCAGTTACGATTTGTCCTTCTCCTTTCCAGGATTGCGTCCCCTGACAATATATCTGGAAAAAGGCAACGACAAGGGCGTTAATGAAATCGGAGAGCCAGTGCCATTAGTCGTCTCGGAGTTGATTATACCGACGTAACGTGTGGGCTCGTTTATCTCCCACAATTGAGTTTTATCTTCTCTTCTGTGCGTAAGCAAGGGGAAAATCATCTCAATTTTTTTAGAAGACGTATATTCCTATCGAGGACCATGCAAAGAATTCATGAGTCATTAGGGATTCAGAGTTAAAGACAACTCCCCTGTCGTCACCAAGTGTCTTTAAAATCATCATGACACTGAAGCCCTTAGTTGTTTATGTACAACCCTCGTAATAACACTTGTAAGGTGTGATTACTGTTTTCCCATATTTATTATTCTATCGTCTTTTTATCCTATAGCATTAAAGTCTCTCCATACTCACGCGAGAATCTTGCAAGAAAGCCAGAAAAACATGAGAAATGTGAATGTAGAACCGATTTTAATAATCTTAGCAGGTTCTTGGCTTGTCCTCCAATTTTTGTCGTTTTTTTTTTGGCGCGAGACAAAAGAGCTGAGAACGGACAACAAGCCAGAACTTGTATTGAGTCCACACTCGCATGTTTCTCAGTGGCAGGTGACTCGCCGATTAGAACAGTTGTGTGTGGTATTTACTACTGAGCATCAATATGTGCCGGATTTGGACGAACGAACTAGAATTGGCATTCCTAGAATATTTTCAAGGATAACCGATTTTGAGGAATACAAATTTAAAAGAATATAAAAATAAACTAAAAGCCCACAATGCGTGGAAACGTATTAGTACCTTTATGGAATGACCCATTGAAGAATTAAAAAACAAAGAAAAATCGTTATTAGCCAGTTAAAAACTTATGCCGAGTACCTAATAAGTTTGTCGCGACATTTAATTCTTGAGAACCCTGCGAGTGTGGACCCAAAGCAGTTCTTGTCGAGATTTTCGCATGAGATTCTTGCCGAGATTAACGGCGAGATTCTCGCGTGAGTGTGGAGCGGCTTTTAGATCTACCACAATTTTGAAGTGAGACATCTGAGACCAGCTATATTGACGCTTAGTTGATTTTATAAATTATGGACTTTTACCTTCAGGTAAATGAGAGCTGCTACGCCATTGAACTAAATGCCGACAATTTGCATTGGCAATACCAAACGTGCGTTCAGCAAATTAACTATGCGCCCACATTAAATTTCTCTCCCGGTTCGATTCGGTTGTTCCTGAACTACATACTGACAAATCTGGGTAGGATATAATTTATAAGCAAATCCAAAGCCCACTGTTTCAAATAAAAAAGAGATTTACATAACGAAACTACTTGTCCAGCTATTTTGGGGTCCCTGTTAGGATTATTATGACCATTTGGTTGGTATCAAGGTTAATAAGACACAGTTCTTCAGACAGGTGCTTATTCATACGCGGAAGATCAAAATGAATACTTACATTCCTCTAGATTTGACTTTCTAGCATTGTAATCTTGTCTCACTGATCAAAAGCCAAAAAATATCCTAAATGAAATCAACAAAATATTACTATTTTTAATGAAACTTATTTTTTCAATATTAGTTCAAGTTTTAGAGATACGGTAATTATATGTGTTCCTGCTGTGACAGTGTTAATATACTGTAATTCACAAGCATGCACGTGCTACATTCTTATATTCGGCAAGGAAAGATGATGTAATCGGCATGATTGTGTTACGTTATACATACGTGTACATTATATTGTTTTATATTAGCCATTTTTTCCTCAGTTGGCTGACAGCGTTCATGCAAGATGTCTCGAAAGTGTGTAAACAATCCAGATCAGTTTTGTTACGTGTGTGGTGATGTGACTTTTGCGTCTCAGAGACGGTCTATTACTCCACTAATAACAAAGGCATATCAGCTTTATTTCGGTTGTAAACTAGGTGATCAAGACAAACAGTGGGCACCCCACATCTGCTGTAATACATGTGCTTCAAGTCTGAGGAGCTGGTTAAATGGCAAAAAATGGTCTATGCGCTTTGCTGTCCCAATGGTTTGGAGAGAGCCTACAAATCATATTAATGATTGTTACTTTTGCATGGTACCTTGTGTTGGACAAGCCACAGGTATGTCCAAGAAAAAAAAATCGGTTATTAACTACCCAAACATACCATCTGCGATGAGACCTGTGCCTCACAGTGACGAAAATCCTGTTCCAAAACCCCCAGAATCCTACACTTGCGAATCAGAAAACGAATCAGATCATGGCGATCGAGTGATTCGTCAGGTAGAAGATATGCCATCAACGTCAAGAGATCCTGATTTTATACAGAGCACGTCATGCTACCAACCGCACAAAATAACAGTCAGAATTAAATGATCTTGTAAGAGATTTAGAACTTCCAAAATGTAAGGCAGAGTTACTTGGATCAAGACTGCAGCAGTGGAACTTGTTAGAAGACGAGGTTTCGGTATGTGTTTTTCGTAAACGCCACAAAGACTTAGAACCATTTTTCAATATGGAGAATAACTTGGTTTTCTGCAGTAACATTAACGGCTTACTGGCGGCTTTAAATATAAACTATAATCCAGAAGAATGGAGATTGTTTATAGACAGTTCAACATTGAGTTTAAAGGCAGTGTTATTGCATATTGGAAATATTTTACCATCTCTTCCTGTAGGGTATGCAGTTCACATGAAAGAATCATATGACAATATGAAGTACCTATTGACATGCATAAAATACGATGAGCACCAATGCATATTTGTGGCGATTTGAAAGTTGTTGCACTTTTACTTGGGCTGCAGCTAGGCTACACAAAGTTTTGCTGTTTTTTGTGTGAATGGGACAGTCGGGCAAAGGCACTTCATTACACCAGACAAAACTGGCCTGTTCGTCAATTCCTAGAGCCAGGTCAAAAAAATGTACAGCATATGCCATTAGTAGATTTGAAAAAAATTTTATTACCACCACTGCATATCAAGTTGGGCCTAATGAAAAACTTTGTCAAGGCATTAGATAGAGATGGGTCAGCTTTTCAATAGCTGCGTCAGAAATTTCCAAGACTAAGTGAGGCAAAGGTTAAAGAAGGTATTTTTGTTGGGCCACAGATTCGAAATATTTTGAAAGATACACAGTTTAAAAACACTTTAACAGGTATTGAAAAAACTGCTTGGAATGATTTCCGTCTGGTGGTCACTAATTTCTTGGGAAATAGAAAAGCTGGCAACTATAAAACCCTTGTCAAAAATATGCTATCATCGTATCAAAAGATGGGCTGTAATATGTCTCTTAAGATACATTTCCTACACTCACACCTGGACTTTTTTCCTGACAATTGCGGAGCCGTAAGTGATGAGCACGGCGAACGTTTTTATCAGGATATTTCAACAATGGAAAAAAGGTACCAGGGAAAGTGGAATCCTTCCATGGTTGCAGACTACTGTTGGACTGTTGGTAGAGATGCTCCAGAAACGATCCATAAAAGAACAGCAAAAAGACAGCGCATATAGTGATTCTTATAAGTATATGAATCTTGTTACTTTTT